GCACAATATAGAATTCGTGGTGCTCACCACTATGCATATAATAATAATATGATAACTATACCAGGGTCATATGCATGTTCATAGTCAATTGACATAACACACCACACTCCTACTCATCACTATACTCATATGCACACCTATCAAAAGCCGTCAGGGGTAGAACCCAAACTCATCAGCGGGAGTGCAGTCGTGCGAGGTTCGACATCAACGGTCACGACCTATCGACTAGGCTAAAATGAGTCTACCTATCACAAGGTCGGAGATTGCCTTCCACTAGGCACCGCCTCATGACTCACATACAATCATAGAACACACAGTATAGAAATCTTACCATAATTATGGCTTAGCAATTTTTAAATAAAACTCACCTGGTCGAAAGCAAGAGATAACACAAAAGCACGTGTAGGCAGCGAGCTCAGCTAATCAAGTACCTACATTTATCGAGGTAGCCTTATAAATAACTATCCAACACATGAACAACTTACCATAACAATCACTTAGTTCAACTCAACTCATATAAGTCATATAAGCATGCGTTTAACAAGTAAATCCTATTTTCGAAGGTACAACACAAGCTTCACGAGACTCACTGCCCGGTTCCTCAGCTGATGGACCTTCCGGTCCAGTATGGCCACTGGTACCTCCTCCTAGGTAAGGTCTCACTCGACGTGCAACTCTCTGAAGTCCACCACGTGGTCAGGGTCATGCACATATCTACGCAACATCGATGCATGAAACATATCGTGCACCCCAGACAAATCCGGTGGTAAAGCTAGCCGATAAGCCAAGTCCCAGACTCGAGCAAGGATCTTAAAGGGCCCAATATAGCGAGGCCGAAGCTTCCCGTTCTTTCCGAAGTGAATCATACCCTTCATGGGCGAGACCTTCAGAAAGACATGATCCTCAACAGCATACTCATGCTCCTGCCTCTTTCGATCGGCGTAGACCTTCTGCCCCTCTTGGGCAGACCTGATATTCTTCCGGATCTCCTCAACTTGCTCCGAAGTCCTATGAATGAACTCTGGACCCATGATCTTTCTCTCCCTGACCTCATCCCAATATAAGGAAGTCCGAACTTTCCGTCCGTACAAAGCCTCATACGGGGCCATCTTGATCGAGGCGTGATAACTATTATTGTAGGTCAGCTCGACCAAAGGAAGGGCAGTCTCCCAAGTTAGGCTTCGGACCAAGATCACAGCCTTAAGAATATCCTCTAAGTACTGGATCGTCCGCTCCGACTGACCATCTATCTCGGGGTGAAAGGTTGTACTGAGCTCCAACGTCGTCCCCATGGCTCGGTGCAAAGTCCTCCAAAACTGACCTGTGAACTTTGAGTCTCGATCAGACACTATCTCCACGGGCACCCCGTGAAGTACAACAATTTTATCAACGAACAACTCGGCATAATCACTAGCCTTCATAGTCGTTCTGACGGGCAAGAAGTGGGTAGATTTCGTGAGTCGATCCACAATCACCCAAACAGAATCTTGTTCGGACCTCGATCTCGGCAATCCCACCAAGAAGTCCATGGTCATGCACTCACATTTCCACATGGGAATCTCTAGTGGGTTCAACAGTCCTCTCGGTTTCTAGTGCTCAACCTTCACTTGTTGACACACCAAACACTGGTTCACGAACCTCGCTACTTGCCTCTTCATGCCTCGCCACCAGAATGTCTTCCTCAGGTCCTGGTACATCTTCGTACTACCAGGATGAATAGTGTACGAGGCACTGCGAGCCTCTCGCAGAATCTCCTTTCGCACTTCCCACACCTTCGGAACACATAGTATACCCTCGAAGACCAATACTCCATCGAATGCGACTGTGAAACCACCAACTCTATTGGCTTCCATCAACTCCTTCATCCGCCATAAAAAGCGATCGTTCGGCTGCTCGGCAACTATCCCCTCACGAAGAGTCGGTCCCACAACCAAGGCGTTCAACATACCCCCAGCTGTCGAAGTCGTCTCCATTGCCTTTAACTGTAGCCACTCGAACTCCCGAACTAAGACATCTTACCAGGTGAAGGCAAGACAGCTGGCCATGATCCTTCCGACTCAGAGCGTCGCAACCACATTAGCTTTCCCAGGATGGTAGCTAATAGTGCAATCATAGTAATTGACCAGCTCCAGCATCTACTTTGGCGTATATTGAGTTCCTTTTGAGTAAAGATATACTTCAAGCTCTTATGATCGGTGAAAATCTCACACTTTCCTCCTTAGAGGTAGTGCCATCTTCAAGGCGTGGACAACTGCAACTAACTCAAGATCATGCGTGGTGTAGTTCTGCTCGTGAGGCTTCAACTGCCTTGAAGCATACGCTACGACTCTCCCTTGCTGCATAACGACACAACCCAAGCCCATTTTTGAAGCGTCACTATAGATCGTGAACTCCAAAGTAGGGTCGGGTAAAGACAACACTTGTGTGGTGGTAAGTCTCCCTTTCAGCTCCTATAAACTTGCCTCGTACTTTGGACTCCATTCAAACCTCACGGCCTTTTTCCTAAGGTTGGTTAGTGGTTGTGCTATCTTCGAGAAGCCCTCGATAAACCTCCGGTAGTATCTTGCTAATCCCGGGAAACTACGAACATCGCTAGCATTACTTGGTGTCTCCCACTTACTCACAGCCTCAATCTTGCCGGGGTCCACCTCAATGCCTCTAGCTGTCACAATATGGCCAAGGAATGTCATACGATTTAGCCAAAACTCGCACTTCGAGAATTTAGCATAAAGCTTCTCGCGGCGAAGAGTCTCCAGCACAATCCTCAAATGCTCCTTGTGCTTCTCAATGTCCCGAGAATAAACCAGAATATCGTCGATGAACACGATCACAAACTGGTCCAGATAAGGATGAAAGACCCGGTTCATAAGGTCCATGAATACCACCGGAGCATTGCTTAATCCGAACGGCATCACCACAAACTCGTAGTGCCCATATCTAGTTCGGAACGCGGTCTTAGAAATATCTGACTCCCGGATCTTCAACTGATGATAGCTAGACCTTAAATCAACCTTCGAGAAAACTTTGGCTCCCATCTGCTGGTCGAAGAGATCCTCGATGCGAGAAAGTGTGTACTTTTTCTTAACCGTAAGGTGCTTAAGCTCACGGTAGTCGATGCACATACGCATATATTTGTCCTTGGCTAGCTAGGTCTCTGCGGCTATTTGTGTACTTTAGTCCCCTGCGGATGCTGTCGGGTCACGGCGGGACTGGTAAGATTCTAGGCATCACGCGGCTCACGCTAGGATGTCGCGAGTTTGTTGGAACACGCAAAACAAGACGTCAGGTCGCGCGGGCATGATGTGGGTCGCACGAAGAAATCTCGGGTCTCATGCGGGTCTTGCTCCCTACGCGTGACTGCGACCAATTGCCGATGAGTCTGTACATGACTGCTCCAGTACTGCGCACCGCTGAGAGCGGCTGAGCGCAGCTGGTGCCTCCAAAGCCGCTGGCAGTTGTCGGATGTTATAGCAAATTATTTTTATTTTTACCAAGTACCGAATCAAAAGATTCGTTCCCCGGGTCGATCTCTATACTTCGACTTGGCGTTCTCTCAAGTATGGGAATATATATGTGTGTCTCACTCGAATTCTTATACAAATAAAGATAGGTGCACTCAAATTGGTCGATAACAAGTTTAATCATATGCTTGCCCATTGTCTAACTTCTACTTTAAATCAATCAAAATCGGAACTAGTGCATCAAAAGGTCTTTCAAGGTTGTAACTTAGGCTCTTTGGATAGGTAGGATAAATATAGGCTAAGTGGCTCGAATTCATAACTCAAACACCTTACCCCAGAATCATACACGTAGCCGGTTGTTCAAACATACAGGATCTTCCCCCACACTTCTCCTAAAAGCACATGTTTCACCCATCTTATTTCTTTTTTTTTTTCTTTTTTTTTGTGTAAACCTTATTGGAC